GAGATGGTACAAATGTGAACATTAAATATTGAATAATACGTTTACTGGCTTAATATATTAAACAGTAAGAGAACACAATACCTTCAACATAAATGATTAAGTGTGTGTTGATAAGGTGCTGGGTTACATTAAACAATGAATTAATCTCATATCCCTTAAACGGAAGGCTTTTACAATACCTACAGTGAATTGGGCTTTTTGTACATAAAAGCAATTGCTTTGTAAATTAACTAAATGCCCCTGGGCCTCCTCTTTAATCTAGTAGCTCCATGCACACATACGCACTAATCTAAATGAAATTTACCACATTCATTGACTCAAATAAAGTGCGTCTACGGACATTCGGCGCAGTATCGTGGTGATGCGTCAGTCTTTTTCCATCAGTCTTTTCTAGATACATCAGTGATAAATTAATACAGAAAAAATATAGTTGTAACTGTCAGATTAGGCCATAACTTCAAAAGATGTGTTTTGATGAAATACTTAAAAACACAAAGATTGTAGCTAAAGAACAAAAATTGATACTTGACTTGCGTTTTATACGCTGTTGTCTCTTATATGAAAAACAAGTGTTAGGATTAGTTTTCAATTTACCAGATTATTGATTGGGGCACAGATAACACAACGCAGGTAATGCATTTAGAAATACATTACATATATATGTAGTGCCATAAATAACTGGCATATGAATGAGTACTACAGAGTTAATATTTGTAGTATTGCTGGCTCAGGCTGTGTGATGGTGTCCCTGATAAGTATATAATTAGAATTGGCATGTTCCACTCCTTATTTCAACATGATTAACCAGTGGTTCTCTGTTAACTTGAAAGGAAATATTAGATCCTGACTAAACTTTGATGAAATCCAGAGTTACGAGCAAGAGATTTGGGTCAACTAATGAGAACAGAGTGTCCCACTTTGCAAGTCCAATAGGGAGAGAGAGACTATTTGCATGTATGCAAATAGTGTTTGAGTTAATTGCATTACTTGGCATTTAATAATGACTAAGTTGTTTTGGTTATGTGGTTGATGGTCCTTTACAACTGGAACATGTCAGTGGTTTTAACTACTGGCAGAACCTTCTCATTGATGGCAGATCAGATGTTTATGTAGGGTTGTGTGATTTCTTGTCATTGAAGATCTTTTATGTTATATATTTGCACTTGTTATAGAGCACACGACAAAATTGCTGGACAATGCTTCTACATGAGCAAGATCAGCACATTTAAAACAGAGCAAATTCTATCACTTGTCCGTAAAATGCCTGTAAAGATCTTGATATTTGAATAAAAGTTAAGAAAAACAAAAGTTTGCCTGCTCATCAGCACATTTCTAAAGTTAGGAAGGACAGCTGCACATGTTTTATTAGAAATATATGAATATGAATTAAACATAGCCCTCAGTTTAGTAATAAATATGGATTATGTGATTATGCACGTGTACCAATCCTTTGTAGGTTAGAGCTTTAAATTATATAATAAAAAACAATCCTGATATTTATACACTCGCAATATGCTCGTAACAATTTTACAGTGTGTTACAAAGAAATTATTTACTGTTTGTTCAAATGTACAGCAGGTTTGAAACTGCTAATAAATGTATTTTAAACTACTGAAGATTGTATATGTTCTACTGTGTTATCGAACATATTTTCACTGTTCATACACCAGTGCTGAATGCTTCATAAGAGGAGATCAAGTTCAACACTTCTATCCACTTACAACTGTGTTGTGATGTGTAATGAGCATTTAATTGTTTATACGCTTTATGAATGTTAAATGGGGTTAAAATAAAGTGTTGCTGTGAAAGGGACTAGCCCATGATAGCCTTAATAAGTTCAAAGTCAAAGGTTTAAAGTCAAACTTTTTATATGCTTCTTTTATAATGTAGATAATTGTGAGTCCTCCTTGAGAATACAAATCACTGTATTCCTAAGCATGAATCAGCTGCACACCTTTGAAACCTGCTCCGGGTGCTCTGTAATCAAAGCACCCCCCACCCCCACCCATATCCTCATTCACTGACTGAATGACATTCTCTAATTAACCATGCAGAACAGGAGAAGAACACATGTTAATTTAATGTAACAAAAATGTTGATTTTCATGCACTCTCCTTTTCAAATATTTATGGGCTAGACTTGAATTTCAAGATGCATCAAAGACTCACAGGGTATGCAAATGTGTCTGCCTTACCCCCCAACAAGTTGGACTGTCTTTTACTCTTCATGCAGGCTTTGTGAACTACCATCTGAGATATAAAGAGGAAGCCATTACAGTTACCTCTATAGAAATAGTAGTCTATATTTGTGTTTTGACAACTTCCTGCTGGCACCTGCTCAGCTTCACCCATAAATAATCATCTTTCACCATACAGATTAAAGCCTGGCTATAAATAACGGTTAAGCAAATATAATGCATCATGTCTTTTTGAATCTTTCCTCTTATGATGCCGATAAGTCATTTTGAAAGCAGCAACAATGCAGTCCAAAAGCTGCAAGCCAAGTCTTTCAAGAAAATTATTTTACTGCTAAGATGCAATCTGTACAGTGACCCTGTATCAGGACACAGCACACTGTTGATCCAGTTTAAACATCACTTAAAGCAGCACAAGATTAACCTTAAAACAGGTCTACTTTTTAGAGAGTTGTGGCCCAAATCCTCCGATTTTGTCTCAATTACAGTCATCTGATTTCTGCGGGATGGAGAATATCTGTGAGTGTTTCTCATAGTGTCCAAAAGGTGGCGTATGAGACACGTGAAACACACATCTCAGTCCCAGTGAGTCCGCTCCTAAAGAGACTACACACAAACACACACTAGAGAGCAGATATCACATGTGAGTCATCATGCATGGACCTGAAAAATACAGTGTTAGATTGTAATAGGATTACATATTACTTCGAAGACGTTTCACTAGGCATGAGTTTTCTTTTATGCAGAACAGGTGACAGGTACGAGATTCCTCTAGTTTTACATGGTTGAATCTCAGGAGGCGCTCAAGTTCAAAGTGTCCGCAGAAGCAGCTACAGAAAAAGTTTCTTTCGGAAAGGTAAGTCTTTCGTTCTTTCTAGCTTTTTTTCCCTTCAAGCTAACATCAACAGGAGCATTTACACTCTTGCACACCAACCAGAAAAAAAATAATGGAGACATAAAAGTTACACCAATGTATGTGTGTTCACCTTGAACAAAAAGAGAGGGACGTGAGGCGCACTGGAGTCTGAGCTGATGCCATGTTGTGGATGACTTGTGTAGCCAACACACACACTCTCTCTCTCTCTCTCTCTCTCTCTCTCTCTCTCTCTCACTCGCTCACTCGCTTTCTCTTCTTCTCCTGCCTCTTTTAGCTCTATGTGACTGCAGTTAACAATCACAATTTTCTCCTGCTGTCTCCTCTCTTTGTAAGTAACTTTCTTATTTCTATTATGTGATGATGATACACTGTTATGAAACTTAGGTATGTTGAGTGGTTGTGGGTGAGTTCTGGATTGTGTATTGGGCTTGTGTCCTTTTTTTGTGCTTGTCACAAAAGGCTGCTGCTGTACAAATTACAACTTTTATGTCAGTTGTCTCCTCTTGGCTTGTCCTTCTCTGATTTGTGCACGGTGCTACTCTTATTTATTTTGAGTATTCGACATCTGTGGGCCTCTTGCAAGCTCAGCTGATAAAATAAAACATATACTCATTCAATACAGATAAGTGTCCTATTGTAAAAGCTTCTGTTTTGGCAAGAAATCGCAACCTTTGAGTTGCCTGGGTCAGCCGCTGGACTTACTTTAATTTCAGATATTCTCGGATCTGTTTTAAAAGAAAGGTAGGATTTATTTAAATAAAGGTACATACTATCAACTGAACATGCACTAACATACTGATGCACCATAGTTATTATATATAAGTTAAGTATATGATAAGATAAGTTATGTATTCTTTGTTAAAACGCTGTAGCCTATGGAATGTTCTATAAAAACTAAATAATAAAATGTAAGCGTTTATGAGAGTTAAATGTGATGCTGGAAAATAACATTTTCTGTCGTGTCATTACCCACATTACATTTTTTTCAAACAATCAAACACTAATATTTTTTTATTTCTACAGTCGGTCTAGTAATTTAAATTCCCGATTCTCAGAACTGACCATGTCATAAGGATAAGCCCCGTTAGTATTGGCATGTTCTTTGAAAGTGATAATTGAATTATCTAATAATGTGAAATAATGTGAAAATAAATGTTAAACGGTCTGCGCGACGAGAATAATCTATGTTTGACGTACTTTTTATAGAATGATCTGTCAAAATAGATGTCTCAAAATCTAGAAAAGCCGCGGTGCACAATGTGAATTCCACACATGAAATTTGCAAATATCTGAAGAGATGCTGGAGACCTCTGGGTAGCGTGTAAATCAACATTTCTTGCATCTTATCTGATCATTTAAATAAAGTAAAAGAAAGGACAAGCTTATGTATCCTATATTTTAGGTGCTGATTTAATTTATGCAAATAAATGCTGCTGTATCACACAAGTCTAAACTAGTCCCTGAACTCCTTTCCCCCCTCTGACATGGTTTCTCTCACCTGCTCCCATCAGCTCATATCAGCTGCACGTATTTTCCTCTCAAGAAAGTGTGATTTTGAAACACTTTCACTGAAGTCGGAGAGGCCAGTGCGTTATTTGTCTTCTAACAAACAACATTTTAAAAAGTGTCCCTATTTCACTAAAAGGAGAAGGGTAGTGTCCCTGGTGGGCAAAAAGTCAACAAGTCATCCTTAACTTTGTAGTCGCTGATGTTCATCTAAGTTAAGTTTATTAAACTGACTATAACCGCGGGCAGTTACAACCGTCCTCCCTGTCTCTACTTTTCACCACACATCTCCCTCTCTCTCCCTCCCTCTCTCTCTCTCTTTCTCTCTCTCTCTCGCATCTCTTGTCCGGGAGGAGGAGGGGGGGGGAGTCCTGCCTCTTTGCCTTCCTCAGATCAATGCCCTGGCCACTCACTTTCTGATGTTGCACGACGGGAAATGCTTTGAATACTTGCGACATGGCTGCGCGCATTGATTGCCAAGATTGACAGCAGCTCTACCCGTCGTCTTCTCTTGTCTGAGTGTGTGTGAGGGAGTGAGCGAGAGAGAGAGAGAGAGAGAGAGAGAGAGAGAGAGAGAGATAAGGAACAGATAGGCGAACAACAAAAGGTACTTGTAGTTTTGGACAGCTGAACTTCACAGAGTATAGCCTACGGGATCCCCTCATATGGCCCCGTGTGAGCAGACTTAAGTTTTCGCTCAACAGATAGCTCAGTGATCATTTTCTATAGCTTAGTCTAGTTGTCTTTGCGCACGGGAAAGGACAGCGAACATATCTTCACCACGGCTCAGATCATCAAGGTAATCAACATTTGCTGTACTTTTCAACACGCTCTATGTTGTCCTGATAATGTTCAGCTTGTGTTTTATTGCTGATTCCTAAAAGTCGAACGCGCTTGCCAGTGACTTGTTCCGGCACAGTGCAGCACGTCTTGCCTCTTTAAAACCTTTTTAGAAAGTTGTTTTGTGTGTTACGCTTACACGGGTCCGCATGTTTTGTGGCGGGCAGGATGACTGTCAAACTTTGATTATTGCGATCATTTGATGCATCGCTTTCGCCAAAACAAGCGGAGTGCACGCGAGACGAGAGTGGCGCGTTGGTTGCTGGCTCGGAGGCGCTCGGGATCACACCAGAATCGGCCAATCCGCGCAACAACAACAAAAAAAAATCAGCATCTAACTTAATCAGAACTAAACTCGGAAACAACCATAACCACCGGGTAAAAGGTCTGAAATCATCTTTGTTTTCTTTGTTTATTTCAGCAGCGTGAAGCCGCGCGAGCGGAACACAGGCTGCACAGGGTAAACTGCAGCGTTCGGACCAGCCAGGACCGCTGTCACCGATAACATTTTTACCAAGCATCACAAATTAGTGGTGATTCTTACTAAACTTTTAAATCTTTAAAGTTTGAAAGCGCTTTGGTGTTTGTGTTTACATGTCCCTTAACTTTCTTCTGCTGGTGGCAGTTTCACTTCTGTCCACAAAGCGGTACTATTCATTGACAACGACTTGCGCCCTGGTAGGTTTTCTCCCTCTGCCTGTGAGGTGGACAAGTTTATTTGAAGCCTTCGCTCATGTCTCATTATACCTTCATACATTCCAGGGCTCTTTGACCCCCCAAACGGCCTCTCACCAGTAGATTTTTGTTGTCTGTCTTTTGATTTTTTGTTTTTAAATGTTAGAAACACACAGTGTCTGCGGCCGCCGTGTAGCCTGGGAATTTGCTCTTCCTTAACTTTCTCGGGAGGTCAGGGGAATCGACCTCTAAAGAATGCGTAAGCCATAAATTAAATTCAACAATCGCAAGGCTTGTCCATTTAGAGGAGATGCACTTGAACAGACAGTTTTCCATTTAAGCCGATGTCTCTGAAGCTCGGCGCTCTCGGACTGAACAGATTCTTGTAAAAGAAAAAAAAAAGTGCAAATGTGCTTAAATATGATTCATTGTTTTATTGCATTTGTCCAGTTGTTGCTGTAAGACAATTGAGAAAATGAATAATCTGGCCTTTAAATAGAATTAATAATTGTTTAGATATTTTTAAAATAAACTTTTTTGGGGTGTTGGGAAAGCACTTAAATTTCATTGATACACTGTCCACTGGGAAATATTTGTGTTGCACAAATTTATTAAATAATTTTCCAGGTTTTTCATAAATGAAAGTGAAATGTCACTGATTGAGCATGGTATTGGCAGAGTGTGTTGCGCGGAGATGGCCCCTTCATTTTTAGATGTTTTCCAAAATTAGACACACTCCCTGTGTACAAAAAACTGCCTTCTAAGACGACTGTGGGAGCTATGATGTGATATTAATATCTTTTTAAGGGAATTAACTTTAAAAAATGAATTGTTCAGTTGTGTCTTTCTTCTATTTATTCAACACCGTGAGCACGTCTGTCTGACCACACAAATAACACACCTGTGGCTAATTAATGAAAACACAATTGTCTTTCCCTCGCCACCTACTCCACCCCTAAAAACTCCTCAAACAATAATACATTTTCCAGAGTGGAAAGGAGAAACAATAATCTGCTCTTGTCGGAGTGAAGTTTTTATCCTTGTGGTATTTTGTATTGAACAGTGGATCCTAGTGTAGCTCTGAACGCAGGTTTCCTCATAAGGTAAGGCGGTCCTGGAGACCAAATGCAAGTCTCAATGGCACATTTATAATTAGACTGCCCATTCAGCACATTGTCTTGATTGCTATACAGGGACACTCGGCTCTGTCTCTATAAGAGTTTGTCTCTGACGTGTTGTGCAGCTCAGCGTGTCGCTCACGAAAAGAGCGAGAAAGAAAAGAGTGAAAAGCGGCATTACAGTCCCCTTTGATACCACAGAACTGCACATGGCTCTTATTTAACATCTCTCACTTATTTTTTGCGCAGAGAAACTACCATCTTAATTAATCACCTTCTTCCTGTATACACTTCTCTGCAGTTGTTACATACAACTTAAATGTGCATTTTAATAATAATTGGAGAATGTTAAGTGTGTGTATAATCTTGGCGATGTGATCACATCATTTCTGCTATTTTACCATTACTGCCCGGGACAGATGTGCTTTTATTTCGCAGTAATTGTAGCTGATTTAAACATTAATTAAAAACAAAAAGACTGGCAATTTGTAATAATATCACATTTATCAAATTTCGAACTTACTGGCCTTGCGCATTTCCTGTATTTTCAAGGACTGGGTGCGGGTGGATCTCAGGCTGACCCGAGCTGTATTTATTTTTTATTTTTTTGCAAGACTGAGAAAGGCAGCATCATTTCCCACCTGGACTCAGCATAAGATATTGACTCGCTGACGCTGATGTGCCAGTAAGTTCAAAGATTTTAGGACTTTCATTTTGGCATGAAGGGGGAAGCCACCTAGCTTGTCTAAACATATCCTGCACTCTGTCCGAGTCCAATGTCTCCCATGTTGCAAGAGCAACTTTGCTGCTGAGTATAATTTTTCTCATTATTATACATGGCGTTTAGAGCCTTTTATTATTATTTGTTTTATTGAGTGGAAGATAAATGCTATATGTGAGCCCATCTTAAAATTTGTTTAGACCAAGTGCCACCAACAAAATTTACATGTAGCTCTACTTTTAACTGTTCTCATCATCTAAAGGTGGACTTCCTTTTAAACTAAGCTCTTGTGCCAGCAATTAGACAGATCAAAGAAAAGGCAGGAGGCAGAGGAAGAGAAGGTGGGGAGGAGGGGAAGAGGGTGGGAGGTATTCAGAAAGAAATGTGCTTTATGTGATATTGTTTGACTTTTCTTTCTACATCTTGCCTTGTATATGAGCACAGTGATATATTATCATGCTTTTGGTTGATACTCTGGACACAGAAGGTGAATCTGATCATTTCAAGTTAACAGCAGATGTTGTTTACTGGGAATTTTATTACAAACTGTGACTGTAGTCAAAAGAACAAATACCAAAGTCCCTTCATCAGTGTAGAGCTCGCAGATCCATGCTAGTTGTTGTAAAGTGTTTCATCATTTTCCCTGCTAAAAAATCAAATATTATCTATCTTTACACCACACAGTTGCGCAAAATGAAAGTGCCGGTTTGTGTAGGTTTTATGGCCTTGCTAATCTGCTAATTAACAGTTTTACCTGGAGCATGTTTCCCTGCCAAACAGAATTCTTACAGAATTACAACCAATTCCAACTAAAGATAAGCAGATTTCACAGTCGGAGAGGGGGGGGGGGGGGAATTCTTATATTGACATAATCCTGCAATGGGATCATAAATAATAGTGATGTGTTGTCATTTGTAGATAGAGCAATGTTACAAACAGCATTAAAAATGTGTACAATACTGTATGTAGATCATTCCAGAGTTCTGAAGAGGCAGCATCGGTCTCTTCGTATCTTACAATTTTACGTTCTTGTAAAACTGTCATTGTTATATTGTGTGTGTGTGTGTGTGTGTGAGAGAGAGAGATAGAGAGAAAGAGCCCCTGTACACCTTGGCATGTGTGCATGCATGAGTGATACTTTCCCTCTCCCAGATATTTTGCAGAGAATGTCTTCACTCTTTACACAGATAAACACTACTGTTGATTTTGATTTGAAACGTCAAAATCCAAAAAGCAACTGTCTCTCTCGACCAGATGTCATTTAGACCGCATAACTGAACTGAGACCTTACATACTGCGTTGTCTTTCCTTATATACTGTGTTTTGCAGAAAGACAGCTATTTTATTCCAAGTGACAGGACGCTGCTGGGATGCGGGCAGGGAGAGCGAAGCTGTAGAAAGAGGGTGGGGTGAGGGGGGGTGCGCAGGTACTAGTCTCCCTCTCTTTGTGGTATTGGAGGGAGCGGCTGAGACCTGATGATAAACAAGATGCGAAGAGGTAAACAACAGCAGGCCTGGTAAAGGTGGAGGAGGGGGGCAGCAGATGCTGTGACATCTGTCTATCTAAGTGTTATCTAATTTGCTGTGGAATATTTCAACAATGATCAAAACTGATGGGAATATGCCATAGCGGTTTTTCTTTGTAATTTGTCCCTTTCAACAAGAAGTTCCTGACAAGTCAGTAACATGTCACGTTTGTCATGATGCTCCATTTTATTTCACGGGACAATGTGATTAGCGTTGCACAGTATTATGTATAATGAATGCATGCGTGCAGTCACAGAGGACTCGCCATCCTCCATACACCAGAGCAGCATTTTGTAGGGTAGAGCGGGTTTTTGACGTATGGTCCATGGCTTAACGAGAGTAAGTACGGCGCAGATTTGGATGAAGTGGATTTGTGCTCGTACAGGAGGAGATTGTCTGTCAGTCTGCACCATTGTCACTTTTTTCGTAAAGGAGAAACGCTGATGAAATCAGTGGTCAACTGAGTCAAGAGCAGACAATGGGGTATCACCTCCACAGAGTCACAGTCTTCACTGAAAAGCTATGAGAAAGTGGAGCCAGACAGATTAGTGGGAGACAGTTTGATACACCAATGTAATACACCAGCTGTTTGAAAAAGAATCTCAAGCTTTTACATTTTGAATTTCATCCAGCTTTGGCTTTTAATTTACCACAATCTGATTATCTTTTAAATCAGACTTTTTAAAAACATGTTATTCTTTGAACACATGTTCCTGTGATGTCAAAGATTAAACTTGAGTACATGTTATTATTTATTCAGAAACAAATAGCACCTATGTTCGCCAACACTTACTGAACATCCACAAGGGCAGGGTCAGTTTTTTCTGCTCTATTAGATCTGTGTATCCCTCTGGCTGCTGTAAGTGAACAGTATTGCTGACATTAAAGGATTACAGATGAAAAAAAAGTGCATCTTCA